CCATGATGCAGCTTCATGACCAGTTTTCTTCTAAGCAAAAAGAAAGCAGAACAGAACAGAGTTTTCTGAATGTTTTTAATCGTTCCCAACCAAACATAGACGCCATTATTAGGTTTTCTAGTTTCTCCAGTTGATGTGACTCTGGATCCTGATACAGCAGTTTTAACAGTTTTAATCTGAGCATCAAATGAAAACAAATCAAACACCAACTTCAATAAAAGTCAACCGAACTGAAACATAAAAACATCAAGAGGAAAACAATCAATCAAGAGATGAGTCTCCTTTTATTCCCTTCTGGTCAATGATCCGACCAACAGTTGAGTTCATCTCCAGTAAAAAGGAGAAAACAATAAAATGATGCAGTAGAACCATGGTTCTGGTCAAGAACCTGGAACCAAAGCCCACTTTTAATGGTCCCAGTTTGAAAAATGACAGCTGGGCCTCTTTCCCACATCATGTTGCAGCCGTTGCTGTTTATCTGCTGTCATTATCTATCTGGGTCATTATCTAGTCTTTTTCTCTGTTAGTATTAAACTGTTTGTTTCTAGTTTTCAGTTTTAAAGCCAAACCGCAGACTGGGCCTGTAAACTAGAGGAGCTGTGGACAGGAAGTTGCTGCTACTTCCTGAATCTGACTTTGTTTAATGTCTCTGATCAGAAACACCTGAAACAAATGGTGCATTATCCAGACATAGGAGCCATGTAACCAGGCCACCCTTAATACATGACTGACTGACTGACTGGTGGTAACATAATATACGGCTGGGATCTTTTTTTGCTTTCTGAGGACCCCACTGAAAAAAATAAGCTTTTATTAACATAAAAGTATGTTTTTCTTATATGTTTGAGTTCGCCTTCAGCTTTGATACACATCGAAACCAAGAAGAGTAACAGACTTGATGTAGAGAACATCCTGGGATCAGCTGGTTTTAACACTGAGCTATCACAGCTCATCAAAGCAGCGCAGGTGTTTAATTAAGGTGACTTATTTCGTCAAACTAATTAAGTCAGTGTGACTATAATTTTTGTTTTGCATTTAGTTTCTAATTCATCAAGTTTAAGGTATACATAAGGGAGTTACTCAGAGGAGCTCCTATTTTATAAATACAGGTTTATATTATGATTTTATTTACAGATTCCAGGCCACATATTCATGCTGTTTTTTTTTCATTTTAGATGGAAAGCATACATTTATAAAAATTAAATGCTTAAATTAAAAGATTAAGTAAAATAGTCTTTATTTTAGTTATTGTATGTTTCACTTTTGGAGAATTATATTTTTTTTTGACTAAAAGATGAACTCATGGTATGAAAAAGTGCCCAAAGACTTAAGCAAGTCAAAAACGTTGAGAAACACTGATCTAGAAGGACCTACTCTAATTTCTAAGGTTGGATTATACAGTAACTTTACCGCTGTAATTGCGATAGTACTAATAATAAAGATTTTACATAATAAGTAGTGCAAAGGCTAGTGCAATAGGCTACATAGTTATATCATGTCATATCATGCCTTAATGGCAAATCATTTTACCGGTGAATAGTAATGAACCCCTACCTACAGTAAATTCAAGGTTGGAAAACACACATTCTCATGTTTGAGCTGCGATATGTAACTGCAAGTCAGCAACAGACAGAAAAAATTCAACAATACAATCACTTCATAAAATAATGCTGTAGTGCCTAGAAAGCCAGTATTAGAGCTGAGAGCCATTTATGTCAAATGGTAGTGTTCGGTGGCGTTCATGACACTTGGTTGCTCCACTGTTCTGTACCTTCTTCCAAATGCTCTACAACTCCTGAAGCACCAGTAGGAGTGATGTCATTACCATTACCACCTTTGAATTGCAAACGTATGCTAATCGTGTGCTTCCATTGACAGAGACCTTTGGATGTATGGACATTATACTGTGTTTTAACTTTAAACACAAGCACAAAATGTTGTGTTATTTTTTTTATAACTTACTCTTAATGGCACCATGAGGGGAGTGAATAAATCTGTCACTTTTCTGCATTTGGTCGTGTCCTCCTCCAGCGCCTTTCTTTTCTTGTCTCTCTCCCTCTCTGCCCCTCCTTTCTTCTTCCTTTTACTGCATTCTAAGACCGAGTATATTGCTTCTTATCCTCACTTGCACCTCTCGCTAGATACACACATCACAGCAGCCAGCACGTCACACACCTCTACCTCCACACGCTCCTGTCTGTGTCCCTCCTCAAATTCTACAGGCCAAAGTGGCCTGCTCTGTCCCTCTCTCTGACAGGATGCCGCCGCTGCACTGGCAGACTTAAGAAAAAAAGAGACAGGCAGGCCAGCAGGACAATCCCAGGCTGGCGCTTCAGGAATACTCCCGATTCTCCCTATGGCCAGTCCCGGTATGGATAGATGTAAGATCTGAGGGTCAAATCCAGAGGGTCTGGATTTGAGCTAGGAGAGGATGCATGAAGAGCAGAGAGGAATCAGACACATTAGGGTTTTACTACAGAGTCACTCAGGTTGGAGGATCTTTGTCTACAGATTCATTCTTCATCAGAGGAGCTTTCACAGGAATAATCATCCTGATTAACAGGACAGATGATCAAAGGAGCAGAGTTTTTACCTCCATCATTAAGACCAGGACAGAAGTATGGGTAGAGTTTCTGAGTGAAGCAGCAGCCAGTAAAGGAGTAGATCAGAGCTGCAGCATCTACATCATAGAAGGAGACCAGACCCTCCTCATAATCGACAAAAACCCCCACCTTATCAGGACCAGGATGGAGATGGAGACGGACTAAAGAACCAGCTGCAGCTGAGTACTCATTGCTATTCCTCAAAACAGCAGCCCAGAAACCATTCTGAGGAATTGCTATGATGTGTCCCTTCCTGTCGATGGACTCTCTGGCCACTCCCAATTCCCACTTAGTCTTTCCTGTAACCTGAACCTCAAAGTAAAATCTGCCTGAAGAGAAACTCTGACGTCCTAAGATGCAACCATTATAGGAAAATCTCTTTGGATTGTCTGGTAGATTCTTCTTAACATTTCCATGTTTCACCTGTTTTCCATCATCAGACAGGATCAGCTTAGGATGAGCTGTATCAGGATCCAGAGTCACATCCACTGCAGACTGCTGGACCCTCTTCATCTCAGCCTCTCTCATATTCTTCTTCATCTCCATGATCTCCTTCTCCAGCTGAGCCACAAGTTTATTCAGGATCCCCTTATATGATGGTGGACGGACTCTGACCTCTGTCCAGTTCTTGGTGGGTGGAGCAGCTTTCAGGGAGGAGAAGCTTTGGAGGAGGTGGAGGTGGTCTTCAGACTGGGAGAGCTGCTTCACCTCAGAGCTCCTCTTCATCAGCTCAGAGATTTCCTGTTCCAGATCTTTGATGAAGTCTTCAGCCTGTTTCTCTGCAGTTTTCTGTTTGTCTTCGATCTCCTTGATGAGCTCCTTCAGGCCTCTCTCAGCAGACTCCTTCAGAGCAGTGAAGACCTCAACACCTTCTGCTTTCTCTCTGTCTGCAGCATCTTTACTGATCTTCACCGACTCTTTGATGTTCTGAATCTTCACTCGTCTGTTCTGGATCATTTTCTGAACTTCATCCTCTGTCTTCCTCAACTCTGCCTTCTTTTCCTCAAATTCTTCTTTCAGAGGAACAAACTTGTGGTTCTCATGGTCCAAAACAGGACAGAACAAACAGACACATGTCTGGTCGGTCCTACAGAACAGCTCCAGAGGTCTTTCATGCTGCAGACACATCCTTTCCTCCAGGTTTTCCACAGGCTCCATCAGCTGATGTTTCTTCAGACGTGGAGCTGTCAGATGAGGCTCCAGGTGAGTCTGACAGTAGGAGAGGAGACACACCAGGCAGGACTTCAGGGCCTTCAGTTTGGTTCCAGTGCAGACGTCACAGGGAACTTCTCCTGGTTTGGCAGCTTGTTGCTCTGAGCTGCTGCTGCTGATGGCTTCCTGCTGAGCTTCACGTCTGAACTGAGAAACCATCTCAGAGAACAAGGTGTTGACCTTCAGCTGAGGTCTAGAGGTGTAATGTTCCAAGCACAGAGGACACTTGTAGAGAACATTTCCATCCCAGTGCTGAGTGATGCAGGCTTTGCAGAAGTTGTGTCCACATGGTGTGCTGACTGGATCAGTGAAGACATCCAGACAGATGGAGCACAGGAACTGATCCTCAGACCACAGGTTGCTGCTAGAAGACATGTCTGAACTCTGAGGACAGAAAAATACTAAATTAAATTTTGTAACATTTCCAGTTCCTTATAATCGTTAATTTCTTCCACTTTACTACAGATTTATTCTTTTTGTCCTTTAAGCTGTGAGCAGAATCAGAGTCTGTTGTTAGGAAGGAAAACATGAACTAAGTTTGTCTTCAGGAGGAACAGGGACAAGTTTTTCTATGGCGGCTCAGGCTTAATTCTGACAAACGTTCACATTAATTTCTGTAAAGTGATGTTTTAAACTCCTGACTCAGTACTGCTCCTTCCATTACCTTTGAAACACACATATACTGGAGACATAAAACATGTTTCTTTAACTCATCAGAACTAATCTCACTATAAAACTGGATCATTTTTTATTCATGTAAACAAATGATCAGATTCAGCTTCATTTTATTCTAATATGTGAAAAAAGACTAATAAAAATCAGCTGATTGGATCCAGTATGAATATGTAGTTCCCGGTTCATCCAGGAGGGGGCTCTATAGGCCAACTCACCTGGTGAAATTAACCCAGCGGTAAGTTTCTGTTTCTAAAAACAGAATCTGTGGTGAGTGAAAATAAACATTCAACTATGTGGTTCATCAGAGAACCAACAGGGTCCAGTTCAGCCCAGAATCCCAGAACCAGCACATCTATCACTGATGAGATCAAAGTTACAGTTAAAACAGTTGATGGTTGTGGTGAAATGTATCTATTATTATTATTTATGCCTTTGTTCATATCAGTGAGATTTATCGTCTGCATTTAACCCGTCCCTCAGGGAGCCGTGGGCTGCCTCTCTACAGAACCAGCAGCTTTCTGGGGTTAAAGGCCCGTCTGGGATTCAAACCAGGGACTTTGAAGGAGTTGAATTCAGACCATTACCTCTAGATATGAAGACGACCTATATTTAAGGTGATTAAACTGACTGGTTAGCTGTAGGTTCTTTAAAAAGAATTAATTGTTTTTAAGTTGTTTGATGCTTGAATTAATTAATTTAAGATAATTTAAGATATATTCATGACTTCATTAACATCTGTTAATATTTACAATAATAAATAACCAAACATTTCATGGACTGAGAGGTTTTACTGGGATCAATCTGACTGGGTGTGTCTCTTCCTCTCATCTGAGGCTAAATAAGCCTGACCTTTGAACCACTCAGTGGGAATTTTACATTTATATTAAATTAAAGATTATAATCCACTTTACCAATGTCTTCAGTTTTACTCTTTTTCCAAACAACTAAAATGATTAATGTGATATTTGTGAATTTCTCAAAGTAATAAGATGATTTTTCCAGTTTTCTACTGATTAACATCTTTCAGTTTGCTGTTGATGCTGCTGGTAGAAACACAGTGAATATTATCAGCTGTACTCACCGTTGTTAGAGTTGGTTAATGAGGAAGACAGAAGAAACTCTGACAGAGACGGAGAAACCAGTCTGGACTGAAGCTCTGCTGTTATTCACAGCCTTTATGTTTCATTTCTGTAAGGTGACACTAAAACTGGTTTTTCCAGCATTGCTCCTCCTCTAACTGCTCCTATTTTTCTCTTTGTTTCCTCCTTCAGATTCAGACTAATATTTCAGACCCTTTTCCATTCAAAGCTCCAGGATGTGTTTAACCCTGGTAACAGGAACCCAGAGGATTCATCAGGCTGTTGCTCTCTTTGCTCTAAAAGGACCTGGAACATTAATTTAAATCAGTCTGAGAAAAACTGCACAACTACTTCAGTCCAGTGGGGGGCAGTAATCAGAACACACAACTGTTTTTTTTTTTATTATCTTAGTCACAGTAAACACACATTCAAATTCAATTTAAAAATCCTGGAACTGAACACAACTAAACTAAGCAGAGAGTTTTAACACAGCTGACTAAAAAGTTACCTCTCACAATAACTGTCATGAACCAACTAAATAAGTCAGACTGTCCTTCAGGTCAATGACCTCTGCGAAAGAAACATTCATGCTTTTGTTAATTTTAGTACAATTACCTCTTTGTCTGACAGACTTTACATTTTATTGGTTCAAACAACTTCAACATATTTGTATATTTTAAGTTATTTCATGAATTGTCTTATTCCATTGGACTTTTACTAAAATTATGAAACAAAGTGAGTTTGTGTCACTTCTGCATTTTTTGTGCTGTCGATTCCCATTTGAATTGTTTGTAGTTTTTCAAACAGCAATACGATTTTTATTTTTAAATGTTTTCATTTCATGATGTTGACATCCCACTAAAATGTAAGTCATTAGAGTTTTTTTTATTAGCAAAAGATATTTATCTTTTATTTAACATCTGAAAAACCCACAGAAAAAACTCATAGGTTTTCATAAGAGAATAACTAAAACTATCAATGAAAGTCTACAATTCTTTACCACAATTTGTATTTTATAGACCTATATATTTTCTAAAGAAGAGCTTTATAGAAAAATCTGTGCATAATGTAGTCTTGATAAATTATGGTAAATAATACCCCCAACATACTATACATACATATATACATCTTTGATTCAGTTCTGTATTTTCAAAAGAGGTGATAAGGAAAGAGCAGAACGAGGAGCTTTGTGTTTTTCAGCCTCTCTACACCAGTACTAAACATTAAACACTTACTTTGGCAGTGCCCTGTTAATAATCACGATTTATTTGGGAAGTTTCTGCAATGGTGAACTTTGGAACCCTGAAGGCCAGTTCCAGGAGTCCCTCGAGAGATGGAAGGATTTTTCTGTTCAAAGAGCAAAATAATGTCCGTGCCTTTGATTGGAACAACAGGATCAATAGCACCATTCAATAGTACCCTTCAATGCAAGACATTTCAATTAGCTGGAGGCACCACCAACGGCGAATGGTTGGTATTGTTAAAATGAAGAGGATTTGTCACCTTGGAAAAAGGCTGTTGCGCCCCGTAGGCCTCCTCACTGGTTCTTTTTCTGGGAGCAAGTTATTTAATACTCTTAACTCAAACTAGGTAAAATCCCAAAAAAGGACTATAAAACAGGAGTAAAAAATAACAGAGTTTATTCCAGATCAGGTCATTACAGGACAGAGAAAAATTCTTGGAGCTGCACAGCTGTGGTCTCAAAAATCACGTCTGCGAGCGTCCGGCAAAGTTTGAGCCCCGAACAAGGTCATCACCTGCTTCTTATAGCTCATGGGTCTATGTGTTGCATGTTGTGGATGCTTAGCTGTCCGTATCAGAAACTGACACGCCATCCATGTGTTAAACTTCATGCAGCTTTCTTCTATGCTTCAGGGTTACAGATAGCTATCCTCTATCAGACTGGCTCCAAGATGTGCCCATATCCTGTGTACTCTGAAAGACACAAAGGCTGTCTTGATTAGATGACCTCCGTACACACAGTGACGTCCACAATGTGAAGGAAGGCCTTCTACTCTGTCTAATCTGACTAACAAAATAACAATGCACATGATGTATTAATAATAAACCTAACAGTATCTCCCACTAAAAAAACAGGGAAAAACCTCAACTTAACAAGTTATATAATTTGAATGTAATCGTTCCCCAAAAATAGAAAACCTATATGGGAAAGATAAATGGGGTTCATTTGCTGATGCAGGGGGCATAATGTAACACATTAAACAACTGTAACACACAGTTTGATTCATAAGTAACAGCTTTGAGTAACCAGTGCTGATATGCAGTCACGTATCTCAGGTCAAATGTGAAAGTTTGTGTATTCTAACCATGGATTTACTGAAGGTTGGGGTTCATTACTATTCCTCGGTATGGTGATTTGCGATTGAGGCATGATATGACATGATATAACTATGTATAGCTCTAACCTTGGCACTACTTATATTGTAAAATTGTTGTTATCTTAGTACTAACTACTGTACTAAATACTAACTACAAGGGGATTTACTAGGTAACTCCACTATAATCACATTTAAATTTGATGAATTGGGAAAAAATGCAGAACAAAAATTTAGTCAGACTGATTTAATTAGTTTCACCTAGTTTTCACTAAGACACCTCAGCTGCTTTGATAAGCTGCAATAGCTCGGTGTGGAAAAACAGAAGATCCGAGGCCGTTCCCCACATCCAGTCTGTTCTTCTGCTTGGTTTGGATGTGTGTCACAGATGAAGGTTAACTCAAACATAAAAGAAAAACTTTTTGGTTGAAAAAAGCTTATTTAATTTTTCAGTAGGCTCCTCAGAAAGCAAAACTGATCCGGGCCCTATTTTATTTTAATACCTAAGAAATCAGTCACGTCAGTCATAAAACCAGGCGAGTGCCCTGGTTTTATGACTGACTCCTGGACTGAAAAAATCTCCCTCTCCGGCCCTGGTTGAAATCATTCTGAAGGCTCCTGTCCAAAGTTGTAATGCTTGATGTTGAACAATATCTAATTTTCCCAGAGGGTGTTTTGCTGCTGCACTATAATTCAAACACCCGAAATCTGTGTTTGACCTAATCAGTTCTGTGAAAATCTGTTTTAATGCTTTTCGATTGCCAAATATCTCATAATATTTGGAGTTTTTTCACAATTATTTACCACTTTCTGTATTTGTATGTTCCATGTTATTTTTTAATCAAACCATAATCCTAGTACTTTATAATCTTTACTTGTTTTAATTCTTAATTATATAATTTTTATAACCTCTTTTATCTTTTCTCTGTAAAAACATATTATAAAACCAAACTTATACCATAACAGAGAACTTAAAACCCCAGTAATATGCCTATTTCTCTATTATATTAAATCAAATAGTCTTATTAACAATAAATTGTACTTTACGACCCATTTTCCATATTGCTCCATCATCAGTAAAAAATTAACATCAGATTTCTTTCCCAATATCTATTAATACGTTATTAATCATTATAGCAAATAGTATTTTGTTTATACTTCTTCCTTGTGGAGTTTCATTTTCTTACAAACACTTTTTTGATCTATTCTGACCTTTAAATTTCTGTTTTTGAAGAAGTTTTTTTATTTATTCTATTTTATTAGGGGGGCCACATGCCGAAGGCATGGCCCACCTATTACTATTGCACATATTTATTCTGCATATTATTAGGGGGGCCACATGCCGAAGGCATGGCCCACCTATTACTATTGCACATATTTATTCCGCGTATTATTATTAGGGGGGCCACATGCCGAAGGCATGGCCCACCTATTACTATTGCACATATTTATTCCGCGTATTATTATTATTATTATTTT